TCCCCCCCCCCCCCCACACGGTCGTCTCTCGACGCCCGAGATTGACGACGAGGATGACCGCGGCCTCTGGGAGCGGGGCGGTCTGGATGAGCATGGTGGAAGTCGTTGAGGAGAGATGGGTCCAGTATGTCCTCTCGGTCCGCCCATGACCTCTCCTCAGGACCGTACCCCCCCCCAGTCTATAAGGTATTGAAGCCGGCCGCCTCGCCGCCGGGATTCGAGGATCTCCCTGACTCGGTAGATGGCCTCATTGGGGACGACCTCGGGCGGGTGACAAGCAGGGTGGATGGGACATAGCTCCTCCCTTCTGGGCCTCCCGGCGGAGTGGGTTCGGTGAGAGTGGTGGCACGGATCTGGTCAGTGAGAGCCCACTGAATGGGAGACATGAAGACGGCAGCCGCCATCTGGCTGAAGTGGGCGATGAAGCGGCGGTAGAAGTTTGCGAACCCCAAGAACCTCTGTATCTCCTTGATGGTAGTGGGTTGGGGCCAGTTCTGAACGGCTTCCACCTTCCTCTGGTCCATTTGTACTCCGGCCGGGGTGACGATATATCCTAGGAAGTGAACCGTGGACTGATGGAACTCACACTTCTCGGCCTTGAGGAACAGGTGGTGTTGGCGGAGGCACTTGAGGACTTGGGTGACATGGTGACGGTGGGCTTTGAGCGTGGGTGAGTTAATGAGAATGTCGTCGATGTAGATGAGGACAAACCGGTTGAGCATGTCTTGGAAGATCTCGTTCATGAAGTTTTGGAATATGGAAGGTGAGTTGGAAAGCCCATATGGCATGACCCGGTATTCGTAGTGCCCGGTGGGCGTGACAAAGGCGGTCTTCCATTCGTCACCCCGGCGAATGCGGATGAGGTTGTATGCACTCCTGAGATCTAGCTTGCTGAACACACAGGCTCCGCGGAGTTCCTCCAAGGCTGCCGGGACCAGAGGAAGGGGATAGGCGAACTTAACAGTTTGGTCATTTAGACCCCGGTAATCGATGCAGGGTCTTAGACCCCCGTCCTTCTTGGCCACGAAGGACGGATGAACCCCTGGTGTAAGGCTTCCTGCACGTACTCCTCCATGGCTCTCTTCTCCGGGATCGACAGGGGATAGACACGTCCTTTGGGTAATTGGGCCCCAGGCAGCAGGTCAATGGCACAGTCCCATGGCCGGTGAGGTGGCAAGTAAGTGGCAGGTGATTGTGAGCGGGTGTAGGAGGCTGATTCGGCTGGTGAGGCAGGGGTTTCCGTGACATTTCCGTGGAGTTTGGCCTTCCGTTGGAGGCGGCTCTCTCCGGGATCGACAGGGGATAGACACGTCCTTTGGGTAATTGGGCCCCAGGCAGCAGGTCAATGGCACAGTCCCATGGCCAGTGAGGTGGCAGGTGAGTGGCAGCGAGCTTGCTGAACACGTCCTGGAATGCCCGATATTCGGGAGGAGGAGGCGTGATAGGTGCGGAATCCGGGCTTTCCACTGAGGTGGAACAGACTGGGAGATCCTTCCGGGGAATTTGCAATCCGTCGAGACTACGGGAGGAGATGAAGTTCTCCGACGCTCCGGAGTCCACGAGGATTTTGACTGGAAAGGAATGGTGGTGATAAATTAGAAGAGCATTGATGTGAGGAATGCCTGATACATCAGGAGTGATCTGGATAGTACTCACCGCTGGGCGTGGTGGACGAAGGGAGCAGGCGCAGAGCTGGTGCCCCTGGGACCCACAGTAGATCGCTCTGAGGACAACAGGTGGTAGCTGTCCGTGATCATGGGATCTGGTGCTGGAGTGGAGAGGCCGGGC